AAAAAAATTTTTTTATAAGGGTTGACCGAAGGGTAATCGGGGTCGAGGAACTCGAATCTGATGTTAGTTTTTTGAAATTTTTTTTTGGATCGATGTTTCTACACAAAGAATCACTTTTTTTGCTAAAAATAATTTTTTTTATAAAGCTTGGTCAAAGGTAATCGAGGTCGAGGAACTCGAATCTGAGGTCAGTTTTTTGAAATTATTTTGTGGATCATTCTTTTAAACAAAGGGCCACTTTTTTTACAAAAAAAGAATTTTTATTCCCTTTCTGGTAGAGAAGAGTCTAGCAAAAATAAATTGTTTGATTGCTTGTATGTTCGCAGTTTTTGAAATTGTACAAGTAAATGGTTTGTTGATAGTTCAGAAACACCATTTCTAGGAGAAAGAGCTGAGCGAGTCCCCGGACGAGCGTTACTTTTATACCAATGAGATTTTGTGAGTTCGGAGTTGCACCAATTTAAGGTTTCCATTTCGGTGTGGATGTGAGGGTGTGAGTGGATGCGAGTGGGTTTGAGGGTGAATGGGTGTGGGTGTGGGTGAGGGTGTGAGTGTGGGTGTAGGTGTCAGTGGGGTATGATGTAGGGTGTGGTTTTGATGGGGTGTGGTTTTGATGGAGTGTGGTTGTGGTGAGTGTGGGTGTATATATGGGTGTGGGTGGCTGTGGATGTGAGTGGGCGGGTCTGGGTGTGCGTGAGTGTGGGTGTAGATGTTGGGTACGTTTGGATGGGTTGGGGTGTTGGTTTGTGTTTGGACTTGGGATTAAATGAAACGTGTTCTTATGCATCCCACAGCGAGGCCCACACTGATCCTGCACCTATATGCTCCTTATATGTTTTGCAACTGAAAGTTTAGATTTGAGCATGGTTGGAAAACCTATTGAGGCAGTATTCTTCGATATTTTCTGGAATTTTTAGTGGGGTGTGGTAGCTAATGCTACTATGCTTGTTGTTTATGGAAGTTTATTTAATGAAATGAGGGTCGTTCGATTACCTTTAGTTCTCGATATAGTTTGTCGGTTTATTACGACAAGGTCCCATGAAAGTGCACTGCGAGTATTAGCGGCGATGTTGGTAAGAAAACTATGTTGTCATTACTGGTTCTTTCTGAAATCCGTACTTAAGAAAGTTTTCTGATATGGCGCGTGTGAAATGTAGCTTTTGTTGTAGTGTATAGCTGTCAAATGCTGCTTGGGATTCGGATTGAATGCGCAAGCAATAGTGACTTCCTACGGATACAGCGGGTTTACACTGTTCAAATTCTTTTCATTCTCTTTTATCTTGATGGCTTTTATTTCAAATAGAGTTTCATAGAGGTTTTACAAATGATCTAATGGCTATAATTGTATAACGGACAGATTTCGAGCATGCAATATAGAGTTTTTTTTATCAGTTAGATGGTTTGCCTGAAGATCACGGCACTCTTGGGATGTTGTTGTTTTAAACAATGAATTGAAAACGTGTCCGAGTACTTTGTGCTATTTTATCTAATCTTTTAAGTTCTTCTATTTGGGCCGTTGATGGTTTAACTTGAAGTGTTCCAAATTCGAATGGACGTATGATTAGTAAATCGTCAAGTCTCTTTACACGAGATAATGGAACATCAACCGATGCGAGCTCAATTGGACCAGGCGGCATCACCAGATCGACGATAATTTTACCGAGTGTTTGGCCTTGGCTTTTATGTGTTGTCATGCTGTATGCGGGTATAAGTGGAAGTGCTTTACGTTTGACGGTGAGTTTTGTTGTTTTCTTGTTTATTTTGGCTGCTTTTGCTACATTTTCTGGAAGAAGTTCTTTGGCGTCGAACAAGAATGTTTGTTCACTAATAGCTATAGGAACTATTTTGGACTGCAGTTCAGCAAGTTTGTTATTAAGTTTGCAACCAGGGAATTCTACTAAAGCGTACTTTGGTTGCGTTATAAACTTGGTATTTAATGGAAAATTCTTATCTTGGTATCGAACATCTTCTGGTGATTCATTGTATACAAGTTGACGAAAGATTCCTCGTGTACCGTTAGACAGTCCGAGCTCAGTAGCAACGTTTTCTGTGAGTAAAACTGGCATTCCTGGTACGAGAGGTAAATAGCCTGGAAGATGTTCTGTTTTATTATCAGGTAATTCAAGTATCGCTTGACGTAATCGTAAATCATCCACAGTTTTTCCTTGAATATAATCTTGAGCAATACATACAATTGGGCTAAGTCCCATTTCCATTGTTTTGTTTAAGACAGCCCTATTGTTAATTTGAGTGCGTAGCGTATTCCGAAAAACCAGTATTGTAGCCTATTAAAAGAAAAGTAATGTGATACACAGAGAAAATGAGTGTGCATACTTCGTTCCATGGCTTTTGTTGTAGAGATACTTGAAGTTTTGGACTTCCTATGACTCTCGTACACAGAAGTTGGTAATCTTCTATTGTCAATTGTCCATTTCTTAATCTATTTAAAAGCTCCAAATATCTTATGTCTTCGGTTCGCATTTGCTGAGTTAATTCAACAACGCAGTTTATTTCAGACATAAGCTTCTGTGAACATAACATATCTATCTGACGTTCTGTAATTTGCTGTGTCGATGCGCAGTTATAGTAGAGTGGCTTGTCTAAAACAGGAGAATATTGAAGATAGTCGCCAAAGAAAATGACATTGACACCACCAAAAGGTATCTCAGAATTTACGTGCTTGGCTGTTTTCACTATTCGATTGAGACGAGCTAATAGGCTAAGTCCAACCATACTCATCTCATCGATTGTCAGGTACTTCACATGACGCCATTCATTTTCCAATTTCGTATCGCCAGGTCTAAATGTACGGGTATTTTTCTTTTTAGTGCTTTTGCGACTTTCACCTAACAATGAATGGATAGTTAATCCGTCAATCTCAGCTGCTGCTATAGACGTTGGCGCCAGTTTACGCAACATCTTGCCCCTCTTGGTTACTTGGAAATACTTGGTAATTGCACGAATTAACTGAGATTTTCCAGTACCACCGCAACCAGGTATGCACATTAATAACTGATTATCGATAGTACCTAAATATCAAGACTATTTAAAATTTTCAATAACAAAATCAAGAAAATATACCGGTATAAGCATGATTTTCGCCATCTAAGTGACTAGTTATAATCATGAAAGCATATTTTTGCTGAGTATTTAGTGTAAATTATTTGACGATATCCTGTTTTGTGGGAAATAAAACCAAATTGGTTGCAGTTACAGGTAGGACTCTCGTAGCTTTCGTTTTAATTGGGCTTGTTGGAATTTCAGCACCTACGACTTCAATCTGTGTTTCATCATCTCGTACTTCCAGAGTATCTTCACCTGAAATTAAATAGTTCCTTGTTTCATCTCGTCGGGCTTCAATATCACGTTTCCACTCTTTAATCATGGTCGTATGATGCTTGCGAGCTACGACAAATGTGTGGACGTCGTGTATGATACCATATTTATTTTCGCCCGGACAACGTGTACGGCCTAAATCAAACTAAATATTTTCGAAATATGGCAGTAATTAACTCACCATTTAGTAATGTAAATCTATCTGTATTATCAATTGCTTGTAATGCATCATGAACATAGCGTTGTTCTTGAGTAGCTGCCAATGCAGAGTAAGTGTTTGTCGTGATCTCATTTACGATGGAGAGCATTTGCAAAAGTTGTTCAGGATCGTCTTCTTCTGCATTTTCGTCGCCTTCATAGTAATTAGGCATCAAAATAGGGTCAATGCTGTTGTCGTTTTGGGCTTCTAAAAGAACTTGATGAAGATGTTCATCCAGATCGTGTTTGCATTCGTGCAAAAGTTCTATATTTTCTATAATCTTAAGCGAGTTGGGAGAGATCAACAGCCTTCGAGCTTCCAATGCTTCAGACCATGTCTCATTCGTTGCACAAAGGTTCTGGACTGATCGCCATGGCATGAATAATGTTAACAACGCGCGACAATAACGTTCATGTGTTTCTTCTCGTTCGCGGCGAGGTATTTGAGGACCTATCAGAACTGGTACTACTGGAATGGAACGTTTAATTATGAGATGAGATAATGATTGCGGATGTGCGCTGTCAAATGTATGATGTTCATTCATTTTCGTTCCTTCTGTAGGTAATTGTTGGCCTTGAGAATTGGTTACATTCTTTAGTAAACGACGATCCGATTTGTCGATAACCTTCTTATGAAAATGACTGACGAAATCATATAAACACACTGCACTAAGATCCTTTGATCGATGCTGATAATCAAGACGAGTATTGACCAAGACATACTGATCGCCGTTGTTGGTTTTTGTGGGTTCTAATAAAAATTGTTCTTCGATTTCGTTTTTATCTTCTCCTTGTTCATCGTAGTAAGGCGTTGAAGTCTCTAGAAAACAACATGTTAAAAATCTATACAATTATTTTAAAAAGTTCTACCATCTATTCTCTCTTCAACAATTTCTTTTTCGTTAATTCGTGCTTTATTTAGTTCTGTTTGTAGATAGGTTTCGATTGAAATAAGAAAAAGATTTTTGAACGTATGTGTAGTGTAGTGGTCACCATAGTTCATCAGATATGATGCAACTTGAACACCTGAAACTTCTTGTTGTGAAGCAATCATATTGAAGCAGCGCAACACTAGTTTACGCGATTTGTCAACGATATTATCTGTGGTATTAGAAGTTCGTTCCTGTTCAATAGATTTGATACCTTGTTGTGCAAGCGCAAACATATCGTGGAAGGCCAGAGTAGACATTGTTACATAATCAGTTATATAGTAGACTAATGCTTTGGCGTCCTTACCACTCCAGATGAATTTAATGCCCATATTCGATCGGCACGCACTTAAAAACCATTCATTAAAGTTATTGATCCACGGATGTGATCGACGCATAGTTATCTGACCTGTTGTAAGGTCAATATTAGAAACATTCACTAGTGCGCGTGGCATGCCCATTCGACACCTTTTTGAACTATCATTTTTGCCTTTAGAATATTTATAGCAAGTTGCAGAATGCTTGTGAATATTGCAGGTTTCGACCAATTGAACTACATCTTTGCGAAACGTTTGATCGAAGTCTTCCGATGCAGGATTTGGTGTTGGGAGACATGGTGGTATAACTTCACTTGCTGTCGATCCAATTTCTCCTAAGATGAAGTGAGAATTATAATTAAAGATCTACTAAAAGCTTCAAAGCTCACCAATTAATGTTCTACTGTCGCTTGTCGTACTTGCTCCGTCGTTCGTTTCGTCTTAAAAAAGAATATTGATATTCAAAAGTACAAAAAATAGAAGCCTCATAAATATATAGTAAGAATAAGTGATCGGAATGAAATATGTTTTGCATTAATGAAAATTTTAAAAATGTTCTGAAAGCTCAAGTTCAAGATAAGGCAGCGATGCACTATTAGGGTGTAAAATAGGGGTCTGCATTTCCATGGA